CTGAAATAAATGAACATTTGCACGATATTCTAATTTTTTGAGTTTCACCTGTATTTTAGCCGCCCTGATACAGTCTGAGTCACTTCCTGTATGTTGGAACTTAAAAGAGAATTCAAAAACTATCCACATCCCTCAGAAATGCAGAATAATTTATTCTGTCTGTTGTTTCAGAATAACCACTGAAGTACAAACTTAGACAACTGGATAGAGATACAAGAGTTACCTTAAAGTAACTACATCACTTTTCTTATGGTTGCTAGAGAATAGATTCCATTTGAGATTATCACCCTGGACGGGAGAAAGCTTCTGTTCAGTAGCAAATCAAGGTTTTAATGCTTGTCATAACCAATGAGTATGCATTTGTGGAAATAACTGAAGGATAAATGGTAATTTTGCTTTAGATCAGTCTTTGCTGATTTAAGTTTTCTCAGTCAAAAACTGGACAAAATACGATTTTGTTCTCATCTGCCCAGTGACACCAAATTTGGATAGGCGTGACTACAGGCCTTGGTCCAGCAGCTGTACACTTCATTTCTCACCTGTATTCCTGCATGGCTACAGAGGTAAAAATCAAATTCATAAGGATGTGTGATATCTGTATCTACTGTGGTTCCAGCTGGGATGTTTCCACTTCTTCCAACCTGGAATGTAATTTCAAGTGTTAAAAAAAATGTGTTTAAAAAAAAAAACTTTATTTTTTCCAACTCTGCACAGCACAAAATCTTTTGAAAGGCTTTACACCTTCCATGCAGCAATTGTCTGTCAGTTTTTCATACACGTTTCATTAAAAAAAAATTAAAAAGTGATTGCCTGATTAACTGGGGGAACTTTTTAAGTTAATCCAATGATATTCATAAATTAATCATACAACCCAAAGAACTCCATCTATTTCCAAAGCTATCTGAGCCACCTTTAGCCAACACTAGCTGGGAATTTGGGGGGCTGCAATCCAGTACAGATTGGGGAAGGTACCTTGCAGGATGAGGGGTTAAAACCTTTTAATGGAACCTGAACTATAAATCAGGAAGTCTCTGTTCGAAATTGTACCTGTCATTATAACCGAATCTTAGATTTTTCCCCAAGATGTGGGATAACAGCAGTTATCTACCTTACTGAACTATTGTGAGAACTGCAACAAAATGAACATGAAATGCTGCAAAGACTCCACTATTCTACATCTGTACCAAGGATGACGACTGCAATTCCTGCCTAGAAAGAACTGCTTTGACGTGGGACAAGTCTTACCCTTTCCGTCCTATCAGCACAAAACAGCCTCGTATGATGCCTCTTCTGAACAACAATATACGTTATGCCAGGCTGATAGTCTTTTTCCAGGCTGATACAGGCCTCTCTAATTGCCAGCAGCTCATAATACAACACCTATAGTAGAGGAATAAAATGTTTAGCCTACTCTCAAACAGCGACAAGCATGAAAACTTAAATCAGATTTCTGTTCTGAAAAACAAACACAATATTTCTAATTTTTCAGCCTCAAGTTTCTACAGCAGTGTTTTTCAACCTTAGCAACTTTAAGATGGGTGAACTTCAACTCCCAGAATTCCTCAGCCACCCATCTTAAAGCAGCCAAGGTTGAAAAACGCTGTTCTAGAGGAAAGCTACTTGGGAGAGGCATATGTTACTCTTCTGCAGTAACACAGTTCAAGGAAAGTGTCTAGACAGATTACAGTTACTGTGTACAAGACAACAGCTCAGTTTTAGAACATGTTTAAACCTTGACCACATGAATATTATTGGTCAGCCTTTCCATTCCTTTTATAAAAAGTCAGTTTGTACATAGCAAACTCATATAATCAGTCTGGGACAGTGAATTTGTGATGGTTCGCCATTGTAAAAGGGTAATTCTGTTTTGCCATGCTTGGTACCTCCATACCATTTTTTATTTATAATTTAAAATCACATTCACACTTTTAAACTTACAATATGCTGACAATATTAACAAACTTATAGGCATTAAACCAAAACAGGCAAGACTATAATGAAAGGGTAACTGCCCTTTCCATCACTGTATATTCTTGTTGGATGAGGTTGGCGACTAGCCCTTTTAAATTTCTCTGAGGAGTCAACTTTTAAAAAGTTCTTTTGTTGAATTAATCTCATCCTGAGGTCATAGGAAACACACTTAAGATCTGTATCCACTGCTTTGTTAATATAGAATATCCCAACTCTTTGCAATCTTTCCATCTCTTGTAAGTAAACATGATTCATCTTAACATTACTCTTGGAATTATCCAAAACACAATTCATTATTGAGAATAACTGAGGGATTTTAACAGATAAGACACTGCATATGTCAACTTTCAAAATACTTTTTGTGCAAACCCTGACCTTGACCAAATAGCTATCTCTTCTTATGAACAAATAACTGACTAAACAATAGAAAGCAAAGAACAGGACTAAACTGCCTGTGTTACAATTGGCACTTTTTAAATTTATCTGCCCATTATCATTATTACATGTATATTCCACCTTTTCTCCAAGAGCAAAAGGTATACATGGTCTCTACTTCATCCCTGTGAAGTAGGTTGGGCTAAAAGATAGTAACCAACCTAAAGTCACCCAGTGAGATTCATGATCAAGTGGGACTTGAACCTGGATCTTCTTGGACTCAGTCCAAACATTTACAGCAAACCAAATGGAAAAGATGTTCAAAAGGATGTTCCCAAGCTGGGGGCATGGAAAATGATGAACGATAAATGCAAGGGCAAGCCCTATTCAACACGACTATAGTGCATTACATAGCAGTCATTCAAGCAATGTCCTTGTTGACAGATTTTAAGAACCTTCTGGTGGCAGTGATGCTGACAGTAGGGATCTTGATAGTGTTTAAGGGCTCATTATGTTTTTATTTTATTTTATTTTATTTTTTCTTGCTATGAATGCAAGACTTAAGTTCCTTGGCACTCTCCCACCAAACTAGTTTTTGAATGTTATCATTATTTCCTTTGAAATACCCCGTTAACTATGCAGGACATAATTGTGACATAAACAGATATTAAGACCTGTCGAAACTGTCCTTCTGAAACTCCGTCGCGATAGAAGATGATTCGTGTGGGTTTGAAACGGGTTGATTTGTAGAACTGGATGAGAAGTTCTCTAACCATGGAGGCCAAGTCTTGGATGATCTCCTGGCGGGGTTTCTGGACTCTCACTGTGGCACAGTACCTGCTTGGATGAGCATCCATGCTACCTACAACCTATAAGCAAAAGAGATACATGAAAATGATGGTTCCATAGGGACCATGTTTCAAATGTCCTTTCTTTGGCCAAGGGAAAAGATTATTTCCCTGTATAATGGAACTGTGTAAAGAGGAAGAAAGATTTTAGGGAACAGTAAAAAGCTTGAAATAGATTATGAAAATCTCTTACTGTCTCTTTTCTTCTATTAATTTCAGTACAGGAGTCTGCTAGCCATGACAATGTTTACTAGTCTCTGCTGGGCTTTGCTCACTTCAGGGTTCTCCATGGGATGTGATAAAAAAACTCAAGATGAAGCCACCCTGATTCACTTAAACCATATTTGGTCCCTGACGTGTAGGTCAGCTATGAAACTCAGCTGCTTGTCTGCCTTTCTTCCTCTCAATTATTGTACGGTTTGTGCTGATTGCAGTACCACTTTGCTCTATGGCCATTCAGCTAATAAATAAATAATTTTTTTTATGGTTGTTGCTTTGACTTGTCACTTAAATTGAAGTTTTAAAATGCATGTGTTAGATTCTTATCATATCTTTCCTCAGATAGCAAGAGTCAGCATACCCTCCCTCACAATTTCATCAACAATGACCCAGTGAGGGAAATAGGATTAAGACTCACAAGTCAACTAGAGAGCCATTCTGGCTCAGGATGAGCTTGAATCTGACTTTTCCACTCTTAGTCTAGCATCTTAATGATTTATTTTCAAAATGGAGTATTTTTATTGATCTAAACATTTATCCATCTGGTATCATTTTGGGGAAGAAGAATTACATGCCTGCTATGTGCTTTATCAACACGTCACAAATGCATGCATATTCTGACATGCGCAAATATGTCGCTCATGACAAAGACACAGAAGAATTTAATACAGCGCTGCTGATCTGAAAGGTGCGTCCACACCCCATAACTTATCCATATCATTGGCAATGCTCAGCACATAAATGCTGACAACTTAGTACACAACAGAGTTTTAAAAATTAACTTTCTTTTGCCCCTTAATAAGATAGATGGACAAGAAAGTGCAAGTTAAATACAATGGTTCACAGAAGCCAAGTGTATAGAAATTACAGGTAACCCTCAAAATTATTCACCTGTACCAGAGAACAGTTTTAATCCACGCACAATGGCACACTAAGCAGAAAGAATGGCTGGTGAACCCACAAGACACAATTAAAGAGCTAGTTTAAAGCAATCCAACCTCATAAGCACATTCATTCTGTCTCATCCAAGTTCCTCACCTTTCTCATTCAATTTATTGGGGGGGGAGGGGGGGAGAGAGAGACCCATAAATAACGTAGCTTACAGCAGCAATGGAAGGCTTCTTTCCATCCCCAGCAGGTGGATGAGTAACATCTGCTCCCAAGAAGATCACTGGTTGTTGGAACACAGAAGGTCTTTTAAAAAAAGGGACAAATCAACCGCAGTATTAATCTCTAAATGATGGTCAGCAGGTCCTGGGTTACACACACCTCACATTTTGGAAGGAAAGAAAGGCAGATACTTCTGTTGTACAGCTAGGGATGTAAAGAATTTCATGGCTAGCAACTGCATGTTACAGAATTTAGTTTCTCTGAAAAAAAATACATTACATTTACAAGTGAAACAAAGCATAATCTTTCATTTTAGGGCAGGGTTCCTCAACCGTGGCAACTTTAAGACAGGTGGACTTCAACTCCCAGAATTCCCCTTGCTGGCTGGGGAATTCT